GGTGCGGGGTGGCGTAAAAAAAAATTTTAAAAAAAAATTGAAAGATTTTTCGAAAGAATTTTTTTTTTTGGGGTGGGGGTTGGTAGGGGTTGGGTGAGGTAAAAAATATCTTGAAATTTGAAACATTTTTCATAAATAATTTTTGAAATTTTTATTTTTTTTTGTTTGGGGGTGGGGGCTAGTTTGGAGGTAGAGATAAAAATATAGGGTACGGGGTATAGGTAGGGTAAGAATTTTTTTTTTAAAGGATGAAGATTTTTCGAAAATGTTTTCCCTAATTTTGTAAAAGAAGTCATTTTCCTTGAATTTGAGGAAAATGAGTTGATTTGGAAAAAAAATTCCAAACATTTTAAGCCAACCAAACATGGAAAATTGAAAAATATTTTTCAGAAAATGTTTTCCTCCATGCCAAACACACCCTCAGAGTGCGCGTGATCCGCTCCAAGGTAGGCTTTAGCTTACTTTCTTGATTGGATATTTAGATAATGCTTAGTACAAACTGCATGTGATTTAGGATTGCAATTGCTTCGCTTCCCCCTATTTACTCTATCCTTCTTGACTCCTATAGAAGCGTTGGGCTGATTGTGAGTGATGGGATCCTTAGTTTAGGCTATAGCATTGCTTGTAGTATGCCTTAACACGTGTATCCTAGTTAGAATTGGTAATTTGTGGCCTTAGTCTAGGGTTGAGCCGTAGGTGCTTTTGAGTGTGTTTTATCGCCATGGTAGTTGTGAGTTTCTCCCAGTAGCGCTTGACTTTATGTTGTTGGCCATGTGATTCGTATTTGAGACTTTGGAGGCACGTCGTAGACGTAGGTTGGCACTAGCCGTGCTCAATCGTAGATTGGAGCAGTGTGATTGGGGTAATGCATCGTTCCTTGAGTTATTTCTCCTCTTTTTTATTGATTCGGAAGCTCTTCTTTGATCCCTTCACTTTTTGTTTAGTAGTAGGCCCGTTGTATCTTCATTGAGATATTATTATATTGTTGGGACTGAGGCCGTATTCGAGGAATAGTTGGATCCCAGGTTAGTACTACCACCTTTATAGCATGGTATGGTTGGATTTATATTTCTCTTGGTGCATGTGCCTTGTTTGAATGTTGATGATGACATGCTTTACATTGGTTGTTCATTCACACATGTTTTATGGTACGATCTCGGTTCATGCATTGTTACATCATGATCATTCATGGAAAAGGAAAATTTTCTCTTGGTCACTATTCTAAACTGGTGTTAATGGGAGTCATACCTCCTGGATAACTGGATTTACTAATTTTGAAACTTGTGAGACGTCATTGACGTGCTCCTTTCCTACTTGAGACATTAGAGGCATCTGAGATGTGCTCAGTTTTTGCTTGACTAGTCGACATGTTGACGCCCTTTTCTGCATGGATTTGGTTACTTATTCCTCTGTTACCACAACAAAGTTGATTACTACTAGTTGCAAATTTAAGATCTGATCATGATGCTCTATATACTTGATAAGACCTAGATTCAGGCCCAAGCAGTGTATATGGAATTCCTGTGTCACCTATAGGCTCCTCTTGCTGTGAGTACCATAGTACCTTATAGGGAGCTGTATGGGTCCTACCTCGCCTGCATGGCAGGGAGGTAGCTCTATATACTTGGTTACTGATGGTTACTGGTGGTCCTACTGCATACTCTGCATTTATATGCATTGCCTATCACCAGTGTACTTGTTTGTTGATTGCACCCTCTAGTTTTATGGGAGCCCGTTCGGGTTGTGTTTGCTATTGGTACCTACCAAGCTTATGGGGGTTCGATTAGGTAATTGTTTGATTATATTCTCTTCTCTATTGTTGTTGATCTGATAACTAATAGGCTGTGTCTTTAGATTTGTGGATGTTAGTCCTCAGGTAGTTGACTCTTGTATCTTAGTTTGAGACTTGTGAGTAGGTTGTTGACTTTTATCCAAGTACGTTCTTGACTCGGTCCCTTATTTCTTAGGAAAAATTACCTATATACACACACCATTATTTTCCATAATTTCCTTTATGCCCTACCATTCTAAAATATTTCCAAAATCTTTTATTTTACTTCCAAAACCAAACTTTTGGAGACATAACTTTACACTCCCCAAAACCCACGTTTCTTTTCGTTAATTTACTCCGTCAATCTCTCCTTATTTTCACTCC